ATCAGGACTCCTAAAACCGAGCCAGAGACCGACTCGTCTGAAGAGGAGCAGAGCGAACGAGCTGAAATAGAGAGAACCTTCCACGACGATGCCAAAAAAGAAATGAGCAACGCGCATGTGCGAAACTACGTAGACAGCCCGGAAAAACTTGAACTGGCCAGAGAACCGCGCAGACTCGTTGCGAGCATCCCCATGCCGTTTTGCAATTTCCTGCACTTGCGAGATCACGGACTACCTCAGGTTGTAAGTAATGGACAAAATAATGTGGGAAACTTACCCAGTGACTTCCCAAAACTTAGAATTGATGGCATTAATTTGCAAGAGTGGTATCAACAGCTTCAGGTTGTCTTTATGAAAGAAAATTTACTATTCTTTATCACTAGTCCTCCAAGAAGACCTTGGACTTTAAAAATAGATTGTTTACATCATAGAGCATTCTTCTTAATAATATCTAGCGTATCTCCTGCAATGTATCATAGTATCAAACCAAACCTAACAGTTTCAGAAATAATTCAATGCATGTTTAATCTGTTTCACAGCGACAGTGTAGCTACCACTACAAGAATGTCTAAGGATTTCTTTTCTTCTAGAGTAAAACCAGGGGTTTCCATAAGTGAGCATTTGATATCTCTAAACAAAATAAGAGCTGAGCTGCATCTGAGGGGGGAAGTGATTTCAGATCAAACAATGAAAAGTGTTATTATCAATTCACTTGATTCATCATGGGATAGTTTTATGTCACACTTAGACACCATCAATCTAGGATATTTATCCATAGAGAGTCTATCTAACAAATTGATAGCTGAAGACAATTCAAGAAAAAATCGTTCTAGCAATCACACAGAACACAAATCTTTTAGGAAGGTAGCTTTCCAAGAAAAATACAATGAAACTTTTAAATGCCACAATTGTGGGTCCAGGGAACACAATAGAAGAGACTGTCCTAAAATATCAAAGGAGAGACATAGGCCAGAATATAGAAGCAGATACAATTATAGGCAGTCTTCCACAGATAGATATAAATATAGAAGCCCACCAAATTACAGAGAAAGTAGAGGGGGTAGAGAAAATTCAAAAGAGAGAAAATCTGGTTCACTGAATGGACTAAATAAACAAGACAGCACTAAAACACAACAAAATGAGAACAATAATTGGCTTATCGATTCTGGAGCAACCAATCACACCACTAATAACAAAAATATTCTGTCTTCTTTTACAGAAGATAAGTTTGTAATAAAAGTAGCTAATCAAGAAAAGGTTCAAGTATTAGGCAGAGGAAACATAACATTGCCTGGTCTAGGAAAAATAGAGGGGGTATTGTTAATTCCTGAAATACCTCATAACATACTAAGCGTCATAAAACTAAGTAGAGATTCTGATATCAATATAGTTTTCTCAAAGGGGAAAGCAACTTTAGAGAAGGACAAAACAAATGTAGGTACTGTGATGATTAAAGGTGGCCTACCCTATCTGGTAACAAAAGAAAGATGGTTACATAACATTGACTCAAATATGGAAGATTGTATTGAGGCAGATGATGAAAATGTTAGTAACAGTGACAATGATGAATGTGAAATATCTCATGATCACACAAATACACACAAAGAGAAGAAACCAAGAATAGGTAAACCAATTCATGATGAGTGTGCCCACATCTTACATAGGAAGTTAGGACATGCAAGTTTTCCTGTAGTACAAAAAATGACTGAACACGCAGAAGGTGTCAAAATAAAAAATTGTGAAAATTATTTGGAATGCTCAGTATGTAAATCCACTAAACTAAAAACTAGTCCCAGACCAAAAAAATCCAACAGATCAACTAACAAAATTTTTGACTTAGTACATATGGACTTAGTTGGTCCATTAACTCCATCAATCACTTATAGAAAACGTTACTTCCTAACAATAGTAGATGACTACAGTCGCTATGGTTTTGTTTACACATTAAAACACAAGGATGAAACCTTTCAGAAATTTAAGGAATTCTACAAACGCATAGAAACACAACATAATATCAGAATAAAGCAAATTATGACAGATAGGGGATGTGAATTCATGTCTAAAGAATTCTCCCAATGGTTAAAGGATAGAGGAATGCTACATTTCACGTCTAGTCCATTTTCTGCATTCCAAAATGGGGTTGCAGAGAGAAAGAATTCCACACTACAAACCATGATTAGGTGCACATTAGAAGATGCTGGTTTAGGCAAACAATTTTGGTCAGAAGCCTTACATTATTCAAATTACACTCAAAATAGAACCTGGTCCAGTATTGTGAATAAAACACCATATGAGGTGATGTATAATAGGAAACCCAAATTAGCACACATGCACATATTTGGAGTCACTGCAGACGTACACATACCTAAGCAGTTGAGAAGAAAGGGAGAAAACGTATCCAGAAGATTAAGATTTATGGGATATGAAACTGGCACCAAAGGGTACAGATTCATTGATAATAATAACAAATTTATAGTCTCCAGAACAGCTGTGTTCCATGAACAAGCCAATTGGTCTAAATTACATCTTAATGAAATATTTCCAGATAAACGCAAAGATACAAAATCTTGTGAGAAAGGAACAATAGAAAATCAAAATATCAACAAAAATACAAACAAAACCAAAACTTGGACAAATAGTCAGCACAAAATAAAGACAGACACATTAACAAAAAAGGAAGCAAGATATTTGCATGACAACCATAGCAAACCTGAAAGAGCTATTAGAAACAATAGAAATCAAATACCAGGTAAATACAGAGATTACATAATGCATATGGATGGTGAACAAATAACACCTAATACATATGAGGAAGTATTAAAACTCCCTTATGAAGAAAAGGAAAAATGGGAACTAGCTATGAAAAAAGAGATGGAAAGTTTGCAAGGATTAAATGTATTCACACCTGCGACCGCACCTAAAGATAAAACAATCATAGGTACTAGGTGGATTTATAAAATTAAGAATCTAGAAGGAGGCAATACTCTATACAAAGCCAGATTAGTTGCACAAGGTTATGCACAAAAATATCCGGAGGACTATACTGACACATACTCTCCCACAGTGAGAACAGAGAGTGTTAAAACAGCTCTGGTAGTGGCATCTGCACTCAATCTTGATGTATTTCAATATGACATACAGACTGCGTACTTACACGCAAAACTAGATAAGGAAATATATGTAAGGGCACCACACAGTCAATACACTAACAAGAATGAAATCTGGCTATTGAACAAGAGTCTATACGGGTTAAAACAATCTGGCAAAAGATGGTATGATTGTTTGGTAAAAGTACTTAAGACCATGGATTTTAACGCTACCACCGCTGATAACTGTTTCTTTGTAAAGAAAAGTGATGATCACATTGAATTCGTGTTAATTTATGTAGATGATATTTTATATATAGGAAAACACAAGGAGAGAAGAGAAACCTTTGTAAATAAGCTAAACGAACATTTTTCGTTGAAATCTCTAGGTAAAGTAAACAAATACCTTGGTGTACAAATTAACAAAACTAGAAGGGGATTCAAACTTACTCAGAAAGATAAGATTATTGAACTTCTAAACAAATGCAATTTAAACAATGCTAAACCATGTGACACTCCCATGCAAACTGATTTCCTTAGAAACACTGATGAGTCTTCCCCTGAATTCAAAGATAATACATTTTATAGATCAGTCATAGGTTCACTTCTTTATATATCTAATTGGACCAGGCCAGATATTGCATTACCTCTCAATCTATTGTCAAGACATGTTAGTAAACCAACTATGTATCATTGGGAAGCTGTCAAAAGAATTCTAAGATATCTAAAAAGTACATTAGATTTTTGTTTAGTATTAGAACCTAGTAATGACAAAGAACCAAAACTTACTTGTTACGCAGATGCGGATTGGGCTGGAGATATATCATGCAGAAAGAGCACTTCTGGTTATATTTTTCTATTAAATAACTGTCCAGTTTACTGGTACACTGGTAAACAAGAATTGGTAGCTACTTCAACCACAGAAGCAGAATATGTTTGTTTATCCAAAGCTGCAAATAACCTTGTATGGTTTAATGATTTGATTTCAGATGTCTGGAAAAAACCTGCTTTACCTTTTGTTATGCATGAAGATAATAAAGCAGCCATTGAAATATCCAGATCCGATGCCATTGGACAGAGATCCAGGCATATAGATATAAAGTTTAAACATGTGAGACAATTGTCTCAAGATGGATTTATCAAAGCAGTGCATTGTGATACCTCTGAACAATTAGCTGACATATTAACAAAGCCTTTACCTTCTAAACAGCACAAATATTTAACTTCAAAATTATATGTATTATATTGTCCTGAATCTGAATGTAATTGGTGTTGTATAGCGAACCGGCATTTAGAGGGGGATTTGTCAGATGTAAATGCCTTATTCCCTAATGTGTAAATAATGTATATATGGGATATCGGGGGTTAACTTATTCTTTGTTTCCTAATGTATTCATAATTCACCACTCCCATCCTTGACTCCGCCCTTTGTATATATAAGGAGCCACCCTCACCATTTTCCTCGCTTCTATCTGTAAATATTCAGTGAATATAGAATGCCTGTTATGATTAAAGAGAGATATATTTAAACCGCTAATCTTTATTATCATTATTGAGTCTGATCCTAAAAATATTGCAACACTCACTTTTCTCCAGCCATCAGACTACAATGTTATCAGGGTTACCTAGATAGCAGCCCTATTTATCTGCTGTATTAAATCATATCTCTGAAAGGCCAGTGATACCAGACTGGAGATGGGAAAGTACCCAGAATGTTAGAACGTGGCGAACAATTCCTTTCTTCTTATCTTTCCCCTTTCACCTTCATTGCTGTAAGAAGTAAACATTTTATTCTTTCATTTTAAAATAGACAAATATTTATCCCTTTATTTGGCCCTGTTGGAAATGTGATTGAAATTTATAATATTTAAACTACAGAGGTAAAAGAGGCATCGTTTGGAATACCTGATTATCATTTCAAATCCGTGAGAGGTATGTGTCTGCGTGTTGGAGGAGCCTCTGGTGAAGCATTCATTTCCTGTTTTGCTCTTATTCCATTGCTTATTTTTATTTTTTCCTCCACAAAATAAGACCTGGTGGAAAAGAGGCGCAAAGCGTATTGACTTGACAGAGACTTCTGGATTCACACATTGTTTGAATGCATATTAAGTGTGGTTTGTCTGATTTTGACTTACTATGTGGTGCCCGCCTGGTTATTTGCCATTTATTCAATGAATTTCCTCAAGCTTCTGCGACTCCGTGTGGTTTTTCTTGCTTGCTAAATCTAACAGGATGGAGAATAACAGAGTTGGAAGGGAGCGATAGAGTTGGGGGTTCAATCCCGTCCTTGAACGGGAGACCTTATACCAGGGATCTGCAACCTTAAATACTCAAAATGGCATTTGGACCCGTTTCCCACAGAAAAGAAAACACCGGGAGCCACAAAACCTGGGTGGGCGTGGCCAACTCGATGTCACTCACTTCCACTAGTCACATGTCAGCCCCCCTAGCCACGCCTACCCAGACGGTCATTAGGGCAAAGAATCAGTTGTTAAAAAACACCAGGAACCACAAAATCCTTTTGACATCTCTCTCTCTCCCCTCCCTCCCTCTCCCCCCTATCTCCCTCTTATCTCTCTATGTCTCTCTCTCTCCCTCTCTCTCTGTATCTCTGTCTCTGCCTGCAGGGAGCCACAGCAGAGGGCCCAAAGAGCCGTTTGCGGCTCCGGAGCCATAGGTTGCTGACCCCTGCCTTATACCATTGAGGACCCAGATTGTTGGGGGCAAGAGGCTGACTCTGTAAAACCACTTAGAGAGGGCTCTAAAGCACTGTGAAGTGGTATATAAGTCTAAGTTCTATTGCTATTCCAAACAAATGGCTAACCAATCTCATCTTAAAAACCTCCAGTGTTGAAGTACTCACAACTTCTGAAGGCGAGCCGTTCTATTGATTCTCACTATCAACTATCACTATTCTCGCTACTTGATAGTTCTCACTGTCAGGAAATGTCCCTTTAGTTCTAGGTTGCTTCTCTCTTTGTTTAGTTTACACCCATTGCTTCTTGTCCTGCCCTTGGTGTTTTGGAGAATAAGTTGACCCCCTCTTCTTTGTGGTAGCCCCTGAAATATTGGAACACTGCTATAATTGTCCACCCTAGTCCTTCTTTTCATTAGACTAGACCCATGATGGTGAATCTATGCCACGTGTGCCACAGGTGGCACTCAGCGCCCTCTCTGTGAGCACATGATCCGTTGCCCCAGTTCAGCTCTGCTGTGCATGCGTGTGTGCCTCCCACCAGCCAGCTGGTTGTTGGGTCTCTGCCGTGCATCAGGAGTGGGTTCCACTTACCTTTACTACCGGTTCGCAGTGGGAACGCACGTACGCATTTCTGCACATGTGTAGGAGTTTCTGCTCATGCACAGATCGCCCATAATGATGTCATGGTGGGTGGGCGGAGCCTCCCACTGGTTTTACTACCAGTTCTATAGAACCGGACCGAACCGGGAGCAAACCACCACTGGGCGGGGGGGCGTGCAGGGGGGCCGCGCATCCAGGAGCAGGGTATGTGGGGGGGCACACGCATGTGTCGGGGTGGGGTGCATGCACTGGAGTCGCATGCACATTGCATTTTGAGGGATTGGGCACATATGCGTGCATTCGCACACACACTTTGGGCACTTGGTCTGGAAAAAGTTCACCGTAACGGGACTAGAAATATCCAATTCCTGCAACCAGGCTTGGAAACGAGAAACCATGAGTCCTGGTCCTGGCTTAGGCATGAAATCCATCTGGGTGACTTTGGGCCAAGCGCTAGGAGATAATGAATTCTAGTCCTGTCTTAGGCACAAAAGTTGGTTGGGTGATTTTGGGCCAGTCACTCTGTCTCACCCTCACATATGTTTTAGCCTCCAGGGTCCTACTCATCTTCCTTGTTCTTCTCTGCCTTCTTTTTAAGAGTCTGAACATCTTTTTGTATCGTTGTGACCAGAATTGGAAGCACGGTTTTACTAGTGCTTTATAGAACGGTATTAACCAGAGGTGGGTTTCAGCAGGTTCTGACCAGTTCTGGAGAACCGGTAGCGAAAATTTTGAGTAGTTCAGAGAACCGGTAAATACCACCTCTGACTGTCCCCCACCCCATCTATTCTCTGCCTCCTGAGTCCCAGCTGATCAGGAGGGAATGGAAATTTTGCAGTATCCTTCCCCTGGAGTGAGGTGGGAATGGAGATTTTACAGTATCCTTCCCCTGCCATGCCCACCAAGCCACGCCCACCAAGCCATGCCACGCCCACAGAACCGGTAGTAAAAAATTTTGAATCCCACCACTGGTATTAATGCTTCATGTGATCTTGATACTCTCCCTCTATTGATGCAGCCTTGGTACATCGTGCTTGCCCAGTTAAACAATGCTTCCTCCTTCTCCCACCCCTGGCTAATGGCATTGTCCAATTAGGAGACAGTCTTTTGTTATGAGAACGCTCCATTTTTTTTTTAAATTTGATTTATATGCCGCCCTTCTCCGGAGACTCAGGGCGGCTTACAATGCGTTAAGCAATAGCCTTCATACTTTTGTATATTTTATACAAAGTCAGCTTATTGCCCCCACAAACTGGGTCCTCAATTTACCTACCTTAGAAAGGATGGAAGGCTGAGTCAACCTTAAGCCTGGGGAGATTCGAACTTACTTTTAATTGCAGACAGCTGGTGTTAATCACAATGCTATCAGTCTGCTGAGCCACCAGGCCCTAGCACCTGCAGCGGTGACCTTGCTGGCTCCAAGTTCTTACGATCTCTGCCTATGTTCTCCACGTTCCATTTCTCTTCCCCAAAGTTCATTGGCAAGTCGAAAATCATTAGGTTTGGAAGAAGCAAAGTGGTTCAGTCTTGACATTAGGACTTACATTGGCCTTTTTGGCAGCTGTAGCACCTTGGTGGCTCATACTTAAGTTTTTTTTTTTTAAATTTGATTTATATGCCGCCCTTTTCTGGAGACTCAGGGCGGCTTACAATGTGCTCAGCAATAGCCTTCATCCTTTTTGTATATTTATACAAAGTCAGCTTATTGCCCCCACAACTGGGTCCTCAATTTACCTACCTTAGAAAGGATGGAAGGCTGAGTCAACCTTGAGCCTTAGCGAGATTCGAACCTGCAGTAATTGCAGGCAGCTGGTCTTAATAACCAAGTGGTAGTCCACTACGACATCTAGATGCCCCTCATTGTTGTTGAGCCAGGTGTCCTGACCTAGGCTTCCCCAAACCACGAAGCAGACTCCTCGCTCCAATAAAATCTCTTTTATTTAGGTTAAAGGGAATTCCTCTCCAGCAAAGTCCTGGCAAACAGTCTTTCATGAGAGTTCACAACTACAGATCTTTATCAGGCTTGGAGAGTTGCCAGGCCGATATCTTCCAAATGCCAGGCTGTAGCAGCAATTACTTGGCAAGAAGTCAGGAACGGATCTTCCCCCTTATAAATTGTCTCCTGCAAACTCCCCTCTCCTTTCGCTCCTCTTTATTCCCTATGGGAGGGGCCAATCACCATTCCACCTGTGCCTTTACTCCTCAGTTGGCCCTTGTTCCTTAGCTGTTCCCTTCTGGCTGCTCTGCACATTCACACACTGGGAACAGGCTCCAGCTGTTCTTCTGCCCCACTGATGTCCAACTCCAAAGGCAGCTGACAACTGTCAGACGGCCCTGGCCCCATCTCTGCCTCAGACGCAGAGCCCTCATCAGAGCCTTCCTCAGACTCCAGGACTGGCCCATGTTCCTCCCCAACCTCCTCACTGTCTGAGTCTGCCACCAGCTCTGCTGAAGACCACAACACTAGGTCCCAGATTCCATGTACATGAAGCTAGATTCCCCAAGCAAGGTTTGTTCAACCGTAACCTATATAATCCCTGGTGATTATATTATTGATGGGAAATGTAGTCAGATCAAGCTCAGGAAGATTTCTTTGTTGACCAACTCAACATAACTTCTTTCTGTGGAATCCTTGGTGCCCTCCGAGTTTTGTTGTAGCTTCTATTGTGGAGAACAAGACTCCACAGTTCAACCCTGAACTACATATCTCAACTTATTTCTACTGACTCTATTCTTTCCTTCTGAACTAGATATCTTCTTATCACCAGAAAGGGGGTTCTGTGGTTGCTACAGTCCAAGGCCAGGACAATATGATGGCGCTTTTCTTGTTTGCACAGGAACTGTTTAGCAACAGTTGCTCTGGCTCCTTCTTGCTGATGTGACTCACTCTTATCTGGGTCAAATCCCTTCAGTTTACAGCTAGAAGGATTATGCAGTTACCCATCCCAAATATCAGTGCCTGAGGAGAAGACTGGAAATGAGAGAAAGATGCTAGGCATCAATTACTTGTTTCTATGTTGTACGGGATGCGGTGGCTCGGTGGCTAAGACGCTGAGCTTGTTGATCGAAAGGTCGGCAGTTCAGTGGTGCGTAATGGAGTGAGCTCCCGTTACTTGTCCCAGCTTCTGCCAACCTAACAATTCGAAAGCATGTAAAAAATGCAAGTAGAAAAAATAGGGACCACTTTTGGTGGGAAGGTAACAGCGCTCTGTGCACCTTTGGCGTTGAGTCATGCCGGTCACATGACCATGGAGACGTTTTCGGACAGCGCTGGCTCTTCAGCTTTGAAACGGAGATGAGCACCACCCCCTAGAGTCGGGAACTGGTGAGCCTCAAAGAGCTGAAATATTTTGAGTTTCTTTCTCCTGCTTCCTTCTATCTCAGGTCCCCATAACCTTTGATTATTGATCCTTACCTTCCAGTTAATGGTTTGCTTCTTCCTCCCTTCCCCCTTCTTCTGCTTTTCCCAAGGTCAGCTCTGGATTCCTTTACAAAGTGCTTCAGCTATTCAGCAATTCCTTGTTTAAGGAATAAACAAAGAAGCAAATTGCAGTAAATATTGCAGAGAGAGAGAGAGAGAGAGAGAGACCTTTGTATGCACAGAGGCGGAGAGGCTTACAGATCGGAAAAATGGATGATGAAATTATTGGAACAGGCTGAGACGGCAAAATTAACTATCTTGGTTAAAGAAAAGACTTTGTCCAACTTTAGTTTCTATGTTGTAATCACTCCTGGAAGTTTTGCTAGAGACCAAACGAAATGCTACATTAATTTTGCCATCTGAAAATTTGCAAGTGTTTATGATTACAGAAATACGGCGTGCTGTTGAATTTTAAATCCAACAGTGGGTGTATTTTATATCTGTAACTTTATCAAAGAACGTTGGACACAAAATTCTCGATGTCTTTTTGTGCTTTTTTACAAAGAGGTGGTGAACATACCTAATACCCCTTCCTCCTCCTAGTTTCCCCACAACAACAACCCTGTGAGGGTGAGACAAAGTGACTGATCCAAAATCACCCAACTAACTTTTGTGCCTAAGCCAGGACTAGAATTCACTATCTCCTAGTGCAGTGATGGCTAACCTTTTCTGGACTGAGTGCCCAAAGAGCGTGCACATGTGTGAATGCGCGCACCCGCGGCCAGCTCCTCCAAATGCAATGTGCATGCATGCCCCGCGTATGCACCCTGTGCCCCTGGGCATGCCCACACATCCCTACATGTGCCCTGCACCCCCGCACCTCTATGCATGCCCCCTGCCCCTACTCGCATGCTCGTGCATCCCACACAGTGCCCCACCCTCTCCATGCATGCATGTGCACCCCCATATGTGCCTCACCCCCACACATGCCCACATGGCCCCCTTCATGTACCCTGCCCCCTGTGCACGTGGGGCAGAGACCCGAAAACCAAGCTGGCCAGCGGGAGGTGTGCACCCATGCAGGGCGAAGCTGAACTAGGCCACAGTTCGTGTGCCATCAGAGAAGGCGCTGCATGCCACCTCTGGCACCCATGCCACAGGTTCACCATCACGGTCCTAGTGCTTGGCCCAAAATCACCCAGTTGGTTTTCATGACTAAGGTGGGACTAGAATTCACCATCTCCTGGTGATTGGCCCAAAGTCATTTAGACAGTTTTCATGACTAAGGCAGGACTAGAACTCACCATCTCTGATTTTCTAGCCTAGTTGCCTTTACCATTAGAGCCCAGTAAATAGAGTCTATTAGAGTAAATAGACCAAACTGGCTCTCTGCATGTTACTGCAAAGACAATATATCTCACCCTAGTCTAATTTATTATTTATTTATTATTTAAATTTCTATACCGCCCTTCTCCTTTTGGACTCAGGGCGGTGAACAGCCAAAAATAAAACATTTGTACACAAAAGTTAAAATAGTTTTAAAATAATTAAATAAAGTTTGGCCCATAATTTAAAACATTTCAATTAAAATCAGTATCAATTTTAAAAACCAATATAAAATCAGGCCAGCCCGGCTAACTGAAAGAAATAGGTTTTAAGGGCCCGACGAAAAGTCCGGAGGTCTGGGATCACTCGTATCTCTGGGGGTAGATTGTTCCAGAGAGTAGGCGCCATCACAGAGAAGGCTCTCCTCCTGGGGGTCGCCAGCCGACATTGTCTGGCTGACGGCACCCTGAGGAGGCCCTCTCTGTGGGAGCGAACTGGCCGGTGGGAGGCAATTGGTGGCAGAAGGCGGTCTCACAAATACCCCGGCCCTAAGCCATGGAGCACTTTAAAGGTGATCACCAACACCTTGAAGCGCACCCGGAAGTCCACTGGAAGCCAATGCAGCTCGCGCAGGAGAGAAGTCACATGGGAGCGCCCCGTCGCTCCCTTAATCCCCCGCGCGGCCGCATTCTGCACCAGTTGGAGCCTCCGGGTGCACCCCAAGGGGAACCCCATGTAGAGAGCGTTACAATAGTCCAGATGAGATAATAAGCACACTATGAACATTCACGATTCAGGTAGTAGTGAGGTTGCCAAGCCATTCTATTGTCAAGAATTAGCAGAGAAGGACTTGGGTTTGATAGGATCCAAGGGTCTAGCAAACCCTTTCTTTCAACCCCCAGGCTCTCCAAACAAAGCAATCTTCCTAGAACTATTTTACAACCTAGATGTTTTCGGGACATTATCCAAAACATCATCTTAGGGAGCTGACAAGGAACAGTTTGTCTGGAGAAGAAAGATTAGCAGATGCTTCGGTTGCATTGAGCAAGAGACCGTGAGATCCTGCTTAATTTAAAATGGCAGTGCAAAAGTTGATTGAGTAAAAAAGTTGAGCTCCTCCCAATTTGCCTAATTATTCCTTTCACCAGAATTTCATTTTGCTTCCTCAGCTCGAAATTTCCTGATGCCTACTCAGGGAGACGAGTCTATTACAAGAGTTTGTGACATTATCTATACATGAGAAATCAGAAGTTTCAAGTCTTTACATTAAACGTAAGAAAAATAAGCAGAAACTTACTAAGCTCGTCTAGATTTCGCCTGGATTTCTTGGAAGTTTCGTGTTGAAATGTTGATCCTGTCAACCTTGAAGCTGACTTGGCCGTGGCCGTTTTGGGGCTTCAGTGCTGCCACAACTGGAGCTGTGGAAAAGGGAGGGGGAAGTAGAGATAGCTGGGGTGCTGTAGCCAAAATAAAATACTTTCTCTTGGGAAGCAAGGACGTTCCCACCAGGTGTCCGGAAGGAGGGAACTGGAGCAGTGGTGAAATTCTCTTCGGGTTGCCACCGAAATGCACGCTGTGCATGCATGTGCAGTGCACGCCAAGCACCCGCTGTTTGCGTGTACATACGCAGTGCACACCAAACGCACATTTCGTGCGGAAAAAGGAGCCGTTTGAAGGTATATAGAAGGTATATAAATCGCGCAGCACAGCTGATCGTCGGAAATACCGGTTCAGACGAATCGGTAGTTTTTATTATTACCGGTTTGCCCGAACCGGTGTGAACCGGTAGCATTTCACCCCTGGACTGGAGTCATCTAGCAACTGGACTGTATCCTGATTGGACCGTGTGACTGATTGTTTAGAGAAAGTGAAAGAACTTTTACTTTTAATTAGGTGAAAACCGCGGGAACATTTAGAGTCGGTTTTCACCAGCTCGTGGAATCATGTGACTGCTGGGAGGAAGGTGCTCCAGCTCTCCTCATGGGCAAATCTGCTTGTTTTTAGGGGGAAGGGGAATGTCTGTTTGAGTGAGTGAATCATGTGACTGCAGGGAGGAAAGTCCTCCAGTTCACTTCATGAATGAATCTGCTTGTTTCTACGGGGAGGGGAGAGTGGCTGTTTGATTGAGTGTAAGTGGGAAGTCTTGTTAGCTGTGTGCGTGGGAAAAACCGGTTAGATGGTGTCCACTAGCCTTGGAAGACAATTTATGTAGGAGAAGGAAAACTCCAATCTCAAATCTCCACTGCCTTGTGGCTATTACCCATCTATGGGAAAGTCTTCAGGAGTCAACCTCGAGGCAAAACCTGGAGGAGGAGTCCTGGAGTGAGGAGGAGTGCTAGAGGAGTAATACCTCTCTAAAACAAAAACAAAAAGAAAACCCCACCTCTTGTGCCAATTACGACCTACGCCAGCCTCAAAATACGGATGTTATGTTAGGCTTTGTCCCAGGGGTGAAATCCAGCAGGTTCTGACAGGTTCTGGAGAATCGGTAGCGGAAATTTTGAGTAGTTCGGAGAACCAGAAAATCTGGCTTGCCCAAAAGTGGGGTGGGAATGGAGATTTTGCAATATCCTTCCCCCAGGAGTGGGGAGGGAATGGGGATTTTGCAGTATCCTTCCCCTGGAGTGGGGTAGGAATGGGGATTTTGCAGTATCCTTCCTCTGCCACGCCCACCAAGCAACACCAAGCCACGCCCACAGAACCCGTAGTAAAAAAAATTGGATTTCACCACTGCTTTGTCCCCTATTATCTTGGAAGAAAGCTGAATGACTGGAAACAAAGAACGAGTAGATCAACACTGGGGAAGGCCAGAATAAGTTTCTGTTGATTGAAAAATGGGTGGGTAGCACTTCAACGGCCTTATTTTTATATCCCCCCCCCCATAGTTGTACTTTTAAAGCAATGTAGATGCAGAGGTGGGTGGAGGCTACCATGCCCTACATGGCTCAGGGCCAGGCTATCTTCGAGACCGCCTTCTACCGCATACTCCCAGCGACCGGTAAGATCCCACAGAGTCGGTCTCCTCCGGGTCCCGTCAGCTAAACAATGCCGGCTGGCGGGGCCCGCGGGGGAGGGCCTTCTCTGTGGCTGCCCCAGCTCTCTGGAACCAGTTACCTCCTGAAGTCCGGACCATCCCCACCCTATTGGCGGTGAAGACCTGGCTCTTCCGGCAGGCCTGGGGCCGTTGATCTCGTTATAGTGATCTTGCGAGACCCGGCCACAAATTGGAGTGTATCTGTTTTAACGTTTTAATGGTTTAATGTCTTCTTTTTAACTTTTGTATAGGATATTGTTGCATTGTTTTATTTTCTGTTGTGAGCCGCCCAGAGTCCCTTGGGAGTGGGGCGGCATACAAATGCGACAAAACAAACAAACAAACAAACAAACAAACAAACAAATAAATAAATAAATAAATAAATAAATGCCGTGACAAAGGAGAAGGGGCCTGGTGGCTCAGCAGACTGATAGCATTGTGATTAACACCAGCTGTCTGCAATTACTGCAGGTTCGAATTTCGCCAGGCTCAAGGTTGACTCAGCCTTCCATCCTTTCTAAGGTAGGTAAATTGAGGACCCAGTTTGTGGGGGCAATAAGCTGACTTTGTATAAATATACAAAAGGATGAAGGCTATTGCTTAACGCATTGTAAGCCGCTCTGAGTCTCTGGAGAAGGGCGGCATATAAATCAAATTTAAAAAATAAATAAATCCAACAATCTGGAGGAAAGGAGCGTATTTTAGAAGTTTCTCAGTTACTACAAGTGGCAACAGACATCGTTTTGGCACCTGTGAATCACTTGGAGCCACTTGGTTGCATCATTTGAGGGACCCGAAAAACAGCCCAAGCGCCTTTTGTGCAAACTTGTTTGAATGATGAAAAATTATGCAAGAGACAAAGATCATCTCAAATGTTCCTGCAGCCCATTTACTCAGGGCCCATGAAGGCAACTGTATGTACTCATAAATGTAGGAGGAGTAGACAGGATATCAGGGTAAGAAATCTCCTTGTGCAAACCCTTCACATCAGGGGTGAAATCCAGCAGGTTCTGACAGGTTCTGGAAAACCGGTAGCGGAAATTTTGAGTAGTTTGGAGAACCGGCAAATGCCACCTCTGGCTGGCCCCAGAGTGGGGTGGGAATGGAGATTTTGCAATATCGTTTCTCCAGGAGTGGGGAGGGAATGGAGATTTTGCAATATCCTTCCCCAGGAGTGGAGTGGGAATGGAAATTTTGCAGCATCCTTCCCCAGGAGTGGGGTGGGAATGGAGATTTTGCAGTATCCTTCCCCTGGAGTGGGGTGGGAATGGAGACTTTGCAATATCCTTCCCCCAGGAGTGGAGAAGGGAATGGGGATTTTGCAGTATCCTTCCCCTGCCACGTCCAAGCCACGCCCATCAAGCCATGCCCACAGAACCGGTAGTAAAAAAAACTGAATTTCATCACTGCTTCACATGTATTGGATCACAACTCCTATCGTCCTTTCTTAGCCTGGCTGATAGTCTTTGGCTACCTTGATCCTACACATTGGAGATGATGCCTGCTCATACCAGGGAGTCCCTGACTTACAACAGTCCGTTTAGTGACCGTTCAAAGTTACAACGGCACTGAAAAATGTGACTTATGAGCGTTTTTCACACTTATGACCTTTGCAGCATTCCCAGGATCATGAGATCAAAATTCAGATGCTCGGCAATTCATATTTATGACCATTGCTCAGTGGTGGGATTCAAATAATTTAACAACCGGTTCTCTGCCCTAATGATTTCTTCCAACAACCAGTTTGCCAAACTGCTCAGAAAGTTAACAACCGGTTCTCCCAGAGTGGTGCGAACTGGCTGAATCCCACCACTGCCATTGCTGTGTCCCAAGGTCATGTGATCACCTTTTGCGACCTTCTCACAATCCAAGTGAATGGGGAAGCCAGATTCACTTAGCAACCATGTTCCTAACTTCTCAACTTCAGTGATTCACTTAACAACCGTGGCAAGAAAGGCTGTAAAATGGGGGGAAACTCACTTAACCAACGTGTCACTTAACAACATAAATTTTGGGGTCAACTGTAGTCATAAGAACAGGGCTACCTGTATGTCTATGGAGATTCTCAATCACCCAGGTTTACGAAATCCTTCCATTCCCCACCAGTCAGTTAAAACTGAAGAAGCTTCTTGGATGAGAAGCAAAAACTTTTTTACAATTTTAATTACCGTATTTTTCGGAGTATAAGACCCCCCAAAAGGGGGTGAAAATTTAGGTGCGTCTTATACACTGAATGTAGCCCCGCCCACCCACTGGCCCCCACCCTTTGGCCTCTGCCCCCCAGCAATTACCTCCTTTCAAGCAAACAGCAAGAAAAAACAGCTCCTTTCAGCTTCAGCATAGATTAATTAGCCCGTTGATTAGATCGGCCTCCCGACTCTCAGCTGATTTGCTCTCAGCTGTTTTGTGCAGGTCTTTGCTGCTTGTTGCAAAAAGGTAAATTGCTGGAGCAGATTTTTTTTCCCTTGTGCTAATCAAGCTATGCTGAAAACGAAACTGAAAGTAAAACAGGCCGTTTGCTGTTTGCTGCACCCAGGCAAAATTAGGCAGAGGCAGAGGGAGATTTCTTTTTCTTCTTTTTCCTCACCAAAAAAGGTAGGTGCAAACAATGGGAAATTGTAATGATTGAAATATTTTTAATTATATATTGTGATGAAAGTAGAAATGATTAAATTGTGATTTGGAGGATTATATGGGCAAAACTATGTGGGTTATTGGGAGAGTTTAAGATGTGAAAATGAGTAACATAAGAGGGGAAAATTATTTGGTTTGTTATTATTGGTAAATATAATTAATTGATTTGTAAGAAATTGGATTGCATGGAAATAATTGGAATATTCATGTTCATATTGATTAATATACAAAAAAAGATTGTTATATAGCTAATTGATTTATATTAAAATGTTGAATTTGTGTTAAACAATTGTAATATTACATAATTAACCAATGTGAGGATGGATATAAAAATAGATGACAATGGGAAGGGGTATAATATAGAATAGAAGGGGAAAAATGAATTTGATTTAGAGATGAGGATGAAGGGTAATATTGGTTTTTTTAAAAAAAAATAGATGAGGAATAAATATGGCAAAAAGGAAATATGGAAATTGTAAATTTAATTGAAATGACTAAACACTGTTTAAATTTGTGAACCAGCCAAATGTCCCAGCTTCTGCCAACCTTGCAGTTCGAAAGCATGTAAAAAACGCAAGTAGAAAAATAAAAATTGGGACCACCTTTGGTGGGAAGGTAACAGCGTTCCGTGCGCCTTTGGCATTTAGTCATGCTGGCCACATGACCACGGAGACGACTTCGGACAGCGCTGGCTCTTCGGCTTTGGAACGGAGATGAGCACCGCCCCCTAGAGTCGGGAACAACTAGCACATATGTGAGAGGGGAACCTTTACCTTTTAGGCTGGAGAAAAAAATTATCTCTTGAACAGTTGCATCGTTGTCCATGTAACATTCCATGCAATCTGTTTTCTCCGTGGGGCAACCAATTGTTTTAATTGAAATGAGGTTGTCTCATGTGGCTTCTGCAGCATAGTTGAGCTCTGAGTCCAACCACATACTTGGAACTCTTCCTCAACTCAAAGGAGTGAATGAACCCTTTGACGGATTTATCAGGAAGTCTTCCTTTTAGCTGCTTAATGAGAGTCACAGGGGAAGAATGATTTTGCATGCATGCAATACAAAATGCATTCTTAGATCCTGAGCCAGAATTTCAAAATTCAGAGACTGACAGAAAATGTCCAGCATAGTGAGCAAGTTTTCAAGATTAGTAGGGTGGGGAGGGGAGAAAGAGGGAGGAGGAGGAGGAAAAACTAAATATTTAGTTTAGTATTTAGGGTTTCCTGCCTAAGCAGGGGGTTGGACTAGAAGACCTCCAAGGTCCCTTCCAACTCTGTTATCCTATCCTATCCTATCCTATCCTATCCTATCCTATCCTATCCTATCCTATCCTATCCTATCCTATTCACAGTTTATTCCAGAGCTCTATCTATTCACTCACATGCAGGGTCACAATCCCGAGCATCTTTAAACTCTTAGGGGTTGAGAGAGAGAGAGAGAGAGAGAGAGAGAGGCACCAAATAGGATACAACAGGTTAACAAACCAGCACGTGATAGCCTGAAAACAAGGCATGCAAAACAATTTTTTTTAAAAACCAACCTTGTGTTTTTCCAATCTTGGTTACTTTAAGAAGGGTGGATTTTCTTTCTTTTTTTTTTTTGAATTTCTTTTTATTTTTTAAACAAAACAAAACATAAAACAACATCATCCATTACAATTACAGAAAGTGTGTCGATCGGTTCCAATTCTTTTGTGCTTAATCCCCTATCCAAAGTTTACAGGTTATCTCATTTCTCTTATTTGACAGTTTATTACATCCCTTTAGATTATTATTCTCATCTAACAGTTATTTAACAATGGCTTATCTCCCATAAAAAACCGCTTCATATATTTTATTATTATATTTAATTTCCTATTTCATATTACATTTCCAGGCAAAGAAAGGTGGAGTTTCAACTCCCAGAATTTCCCCAGCCAACACAGAATTAAACTAACGCGGCATAAATAATAATAATAATAATAATAATAATAATAATAATAATAATAATAATAATAATAATAATAATAATAATAATAATATGCACTAAGGACGCCTAGAAAAACAAAATAAAAAAAAATAGGAATCCCATCTCCCTGCAGAGACGTCAAATCGCATCGACTCGATCGGCGATCGATTGTTGGCGGGGGGGGGAGGAGAGGAGGGACTTTCCATCGATGTATCCGCATTCAACTCGCCAATCTTGGATGGGCTTCCAAAAAAGAGGCGGGAGGAAGGCGCGTGCGAGGCGAGGCGAGGCGAGGCGAGGCTCCTCCCCCACCACCCCCGTCCGGAACGCCCCTTTTTGCTTCTCATTGGTTTCGAGAAAGCCGGGGCAGCAGCGGATTGGCTGGCGCCTCTCCTTTTAAGGAGCGACACGCCTTCTTTCGGCGCGCTCCGCCTTAGTTCGCCTCCGGAGGGCGATGCGGGCGGAGCTCCGTCGTTGCTCTTCCGTTAGCGCTGCGCTCGCCAGTCCGAAAGCGATGGGGCGACCGCCGTCCGCTTGGCGGCTCTCCCCGGCAGCCCCGCTGGCCTTCCTAACGCTGCTCCTGCTTTGCTCCCAGCCGCCTGCCGTGACTCCGGGACCGCCCCGGGGCAGGACTGGCATCCCGGGGCCCCCCATCGTGCTGGGTAAGGGGCGGGAGGGCTGGGTCCCCGAACCTTCCTTTCTCATCCCAATTTTGGGTGTCTTTTTTTTTTTTTTTGCAAGCCGGTGGGTCAGCGCAGGCGGGGTTTGCAGGTCGTGGGGATGGCGAATAACGCGTGTCGACCCCTAACGAGTCCCGACCTAGGGGGCTCAGGGGCTTAAAAACATCAGAAAGATCGGCCGTTTCGGCGGTTCGAATCCCTAGGACAAAGGTCTCCTGCGTGAGCAGAGATGGGGGGGTTGGACTGGATGACCTCCCGAGGTCCCTTCCAACTCTTTGTTACCTTAATTGGGTTGCTTGCTTTGCAAAGGGGGGAGGGATCCCGACGTGAGAAAGAACACCCACACCCCCCACAAAAATAAATAAATAAGGTCAGGGTAAGCCCCCCCCCCCCACGCGTGTGCATGGTGAAAACACTAGACCGCCTTGACTCGGGGCAAAAAAAAAAAAAGCTGCACGCAGGGAGTCGTGGGAAACGCGCGCTCCGACCGCAAACACGCCGCGGCTCTTTGCAAGTTTCGGAACAACAACCGCGGCTTGCCTAGAAATAGGCTGGGCGTGAAGGTATCTGGGTTTGTCTCTTTGTTTTCTTCTCCTTGCCTACTTAAATTTTATTCGTTGGGGCCGATTTGGCTAATTTGGGGTTATGGAGTAATTGGAAGGAAGGATGGATGGATGGATGGGGCTGACTAGGTGGCTCGGGCTAAAAAACATCAGAAAAGTCGACCGTTCGGCGGTTGGAATCCCTAGTACAAGTGCGTGAGCAGCGGGTTGGACTAGATGACCTCCCAAGCTCCCTTCCACCTCTGTTACTGTTACCTTACCTTCTTGGGGGCGGCGGTGGTTGCAACCTAAGTTTAATTGGAGTTGAACTTGGAGGGGTTTCCCCATCCTTTTCAAAAAGAAAGTCGGTGGGAAAGCAGTTAATATGCATATGGTTTTTTTAAAAATTTGGTTCAGTGTAATCTACCAGAATGGGTGTCTCTTGGTGGTTTATGGCTTAAACTTTTTTTTTGGGGGGGGGGGGGGGGGTGGGTGGGTGGAAGGAACAGAAGCCAAGAAGCAACCCAAGTTAATCTGTATACAATTGGGCTGAGAGATGGACTGATGGTGGGAAGGGGAGCCAGCCAGGGTTACTTACCTCTACCAAACACCTTGCAGGTTTTACAAGTCATTTATTTCTTCTTGGGAGTAGCTTCTACCCTTTCCGGATCCAGAAATGGATTCTTTAGAGAGGAAAAAATGAGATGCTTTCTTGATTGGCAAACAAAGCCTGCAGTCAGGACTAATCCTAGCATTAAAAACAGGTTTAGGGCTGGACTAGGTCCCTTCCAGCTCCATTCTGATTTTGACCCTGGTTGTTTAAAATGCTGGTTTTGCTTTTGTGCTTAAAGTTAAAAAACAGAAAATAAAACAAAAGGAAGATCTGCTTATCTTTGAAGCTAGGGACGGATGTCTGTAATTCTGGTAATGGCTATAATATTGATGCAATGTGAAACACAGGTCAGTCTGTCTATGGTATCTGGGTATCAGTGTTACTTCTGTGTCATGTTTAAAGGCTGCTTTTAACTCCACTAAACTATTTAACTTCTCTTACGGTCTACATCCAGGCTCCAATATTTCCAAGAGAAACGATTGATTTATAAGAACATCTGCTCTGTATTGGGAAATTCCTATCACACAAGTTTTTCCTTGCAGAAATGTGTGATGCCTGTTGATTTTCAGACTATGACCCTAAGTAGAAATCACCTTTTTTATTTCACTGGTAGGCTTTATTGTACAGAGATGAACAGAAAAAATTAAGATGTTTTGGGTTTTTTTTTTTTTTGCTAAATATAATGTTTTACAGAAAGAGTTGTTTTCTCCCTTAAACTAGGTATAAAAGGAACTATATATTTAAATTATGAGCTGCTGAATTCATGAAAAAGATATATATATGGATGCCTTTTCTTCAGTTATTTATTCCTTATTGTTTTGTCTTCATGGGAAAAAAATGCTTTGGCATTTAATCTGAGGCTGAAAATGGTGAAAATAAGATTATATGCATCATGTGATAGGCAGATGATCAAGATAGGACTATAATTCAGTAACCAAGCATTCTGTTATGAGTTAGATTTTTTTTTTAAAAAAGTAACTGGCTTCTGTAAGAATCCAAATATATAAGTTTTACACTGATTTATGGGACAGTGTTAGTTTCTTCTCTCAAATTTTTGAGTTAGAAAACACTTGATAGTTGAGTGCCCAGACAAAGGGTTGGTATATGCAAATATGTTCTGGGTACAAGTCCCAAACAGAACACTTCAAGATCTGGAGTTTTGTCCGAAGCTTAAGTAAGCCCTGAAAAAAAACAAACCTTTCTTTGTTTTTTAAGTCATGTTATTTTTATTTAAATTAAATGCTTCATTAGGGAAGTCGTGTTTTATTTCTCCAACCAACCGAATGTTGGAAGAAAAAAAATAAAATAAGAGAAACTACCATTAATAGGTAGAACTACCCAAAAAGAGAAACAGGATGAACTTGATCTGTTGGAAGAAGGTGTGGATTTCATAAGAAAAGGAGGCTGGATTTGGGGGAAGGAAAATGCCAGACAGCATCCTCATTAGAGTGGGAGGTCCACAGTGCTGCCAGAGATTGCAGAGTCCCTCATTCTGAGTACACTGTTTTCTTCCTTTCCGTTCATGGACCCCTCTAGCAAAGAGGTATCTTTAAGGGGATGAGAGACTTCTTAGAACAGAGATCTTCAAACTTGGCTGCTTAGCTGGCTGGAGAATTCTGGAAGTTGAAGTCCACAAGCCTTAAAGTGGCCACGTTTGGGGACCGCTGTCTTAGAAGCTGTCAGCCTCCGCTTTTACTGCTTTGGCTGCCATAAGAAACGGGAGGGGGGAGAGCTAGGGGGCCTGGGGGGGGGGGAAGCGTGCTGAAGGACTTTGGAAGAAACGAAACTGAATCTTTGAAGTTATCGGGTCAACCGTCGTGGCATTCCTGATTGATGACGCTGCCAGACGTGCTTCCACCTGACCCCTGGGAGACCTTTAGATTGGATGATTTACGATGGACAGTGGGAGGGGATGCTTTCTATATGCAATTTTCGCGCCTATTGCTTTAATTTCAGCTTTCCTTGGTTGCGTTCACTTCATTTTCTAGTAAAAGTACCTTTCTCTATAAATCATGGAGTTTGGGTCATTCTTTCCTGGACTTGGAAGGAAGTGCACCTAACATTAAGCTGAAGCTCTACATGCGTTCCTTAACCACCTTGGTGGGAAGATAACAGCGCTATGTTGATGTGATGCTGGTCACGTGACCACGGAAATGTCTTTGGACAGTGCTGGCTCAATGGTCTTGAAATGGAGATGAGCACCCCCCCTAAAGTTTGCACCGACTAGAGGAGTAAAATCCGTAGGGGACTCCATTTATCTTTTTAGCCTGGTTGCCATGGCAATTGAGACCCGAGTTTGTCACTGAGCAAAGCAGTCATAAAGCATCATGTAACAGCATGGCTTAGCGACAACAATCCTGAGGAAGTCTCCATTGTCATTAAGTGAGGACCTGACTTGTGTGATGTCCTGCCGGCTTCCCACGAAGTCAGTGGAGAAGCCAGTGGGAAGTTGGAAGTCCATGACAAGTGGCTCAGGAGTCACCCGTGTTTGTGTTACAACATGGATGCAGGCGGGATCCTGGGTGGGTGCTATGGTGGAGGGGGAGCTGTGGCATAGTGCGAGTCTGGCTGGGCATTCAGGTATGGGGGCTTCTCAAGAAGAAAAAGCAGGAGTTGGCTTTCCCATTGATTTTTTTGTTCATCCCTATTTATGGAACAAAATTGTCTTTTCTTTTTTACTCCGATGAACACTTCTTGGTTGCCCTCTTCTGCTTGCTTAGAGCTTAAAGGGAAGAAAAAATAATAATACAGGTAGTCTTCGACTTACGACCACAATTGAGCCCAGCATTTCTGTGAAGAGACATTTGTTAAGTGAGTTTTGCCCCATTTTACAACCTTCCTTGCCACAGTTGTTATGTGAATCACCGCAGTTGATAAGTTACTAACACGGTTGTTGAGCGAATCTGGCTTCCCCTTTAATTTTGCTGGTCAGAAGATTGCATAAAAGGTGATTGCATGACCTCGGGACACCGCAACGGTCATAAGTACGAGCCAGTTCCCAAGCATCTGAATTTTGATCACATGATCCTGGGGATGCTACCAAGGTGGTGAGTGTGAAAATCAACTTCATTGTAACTTTAAGCGGTCACTAAAAGAACTGTTGTAAGTCGAGGACAACATGCACTGGGGATGAGCATCTGAGAAGGGAGCATGAATTAATGGTTGAACAAATTTAAGGTTGCTTTAATGTAATTGTATTCCCATGTGGATGTTATTCAGCTACCATCTAATTCTGAAACACAGGTATTTCTATTCTGGGGCTTCTATTTTCTTTCTAGTTAGATTTTGTTTCTTGTTGATATCTTTTTCTACATGTCATATGCTTGTCCCCAAGTTCTAATAATAACCTGCTGAGTAACCGTATGTTGATTCACATACGTAGTTCTGTGAACTGTTCTTGATGGACAGTGAAGGGTGCAATGTTCCACAATTCTTGGAAAAACAGACTTGTTGCCTAAGTAAACGTCATTCAAGTATTCCAGGGGAGAATAAATTTCAAGAGAGGAAAAAAAAAAAAAAGAGAGAAAACAATATTGTCCTGAACTTTGCAAAGGTATCCCAGGAGCTTTAAATTCTTAATCAGTTTCAAGATAATAGTTGTCTACAATTTCTAATTATCTGTATCATGTTTCTAATTGGCTAACCACACTGGAGGTTTTCCAGCCTTTCTGAAAATAAGTTTTCATTAGTTATTCTCTCCAGTTATAGAATGGCTTTTCTGAATATCGGTAAATAAAACTCTTCAGGGATAATTCATGTCTACTTTGCTTTTGCTTGAAAAAAACAAAACAATCAGAATAGAGCTGGAAGGGACATTGGAGGTCTTC